AAGTGATAGGAAGAGAGGCATTAAATCCTTGAACCCGATTCAATCTCCACGAACTCAAGAACACAGTCCAGCAGCTTTAGACTTAGTCAAACGACATGGAGAGAGGCACCAAAAATCTTGAAGGACTTCAACACGATCTCCCAACGACCGCAAAACCACAATCCCTAACTAATTGACACAAAAGGACCGAAATCCTAGAGCTCGAATTAGGGGTTCTAGAAGAACCGTCGCATACTCGGAAGAAATTTAGGATAAATCACTCAGCTCTTGGCCGGAACACCATGTGTGGACAGGTTAGCGGTTATGATTGTTAGGGCCAACGAAAATGGGCAAGTCAAAGGGGTTGTTCCACATTCGGTCGAAGATGGTCTCTCGATTCTGCAATGTGTAGATGATACAATGTTGTTTTTAGACCATGATGAAGGGACCATGTGATGAGGATATCATAGCTCATCATTCTCCATCAAGTGTCAACCATTCACCATACAACATAAAAGATACAAATTAAGGATCACTCACACAAAGTCGAGCCAAGAAACTACAAGAGAAGGTGAATTCATTCCTCACTGAAATTATATTTGATATACTTGAGATAGTTATCCTACCTAAATGCTCTACATATGTCTTACTAAGGTTGACACAAGAAGGAGGTACCTCTGGACCAAAAGGAGACAAGATGTTTCACACGGAAGTGGAACCGCCACACCACCTTGCTGACAGCACGAACCAGCAGAAAGAAACAGTCATAACTCTTGATTCCCAAAAGCTTTGGAGGTCCATAAGGATATTTTGGAAAGCTCATCAACTCTGGCTTTCAATGCCTCTATGCTCGACTGATTTGCATATACCAATAATGAGATTCGACAAGTTTATTGCAGACTGGTCAGAAGGTCAACAATCTTCTCGAAAAATTATCTTGGTGTAACTTCTCAGTCAATACTGTACCATCCTGCAAAGTTTTGTTGTGCATGCTATACATGGTTCGAAAGATAATCAAGTTAACTTTTCAATGCAACAAAAGGCACATCTTTTGGACTTTCCAATAAGTAGTTCTAGCCATATTAGTGAAGACTGCTCGATCAGGAGGCTAACAGTTGCGCGAAACTCACCAGAATTCCATCTCGTGGAGACTTTTCACCAACTGTAACTTCAGAAACACTAAGTCCAATTCATACGCAACTAGGAGGGATGTTCCTAGTATAAATATTCCTTACATCTAAACTATTAGAAACTTTTTGATGATTTGATAAACCACATGGTATTGCAGTCGAGCTGCCGAGTGTCTTACTCAAACCTTTGTTCTTCTTGGACTTGTGAAGATATCCCTCTGGGATCCCCTAGTTCGTGCTCTACAGTTTCCAGTACAACTACACCATTTTGTTTGGATTTGTTCCAGATTGTGGTTCTGCGACCGTTCAAAGATTGAGTTGAAGTCTACGCGGTTTCGGTGTCTCTCTCCTTGTCACTTGGTCACATACAACCTTTGTTAGGTATAAAGCTAGTTATCTCACTGTTCACAGCAAGTTATGTTCGGTTCGTCGACCTACCGTCGTGGAGATTGGCCCATAGTCAAGGAGGTTGTTTATCACCATGACGCCTAAGAGGGAGTGGACTTAGGCAACTTAAAAACTTCTACTCTAAAGTTGGCCTCTAATTTTCACCTAGTCAAAACCTATGCAAGAATATAATCTTTCTAGATCTACAACTAAAGTTTTGATAGATTGTTGCTATGTCTACCACAAAAGAGTTATAAAATCTAGGTTTCAATGCTAATAACTAGCTTAGCAAGCTAAACTATAAATGAAGGCACGCAACCTAGGTACACAATATAAATGCAGAAGCTTAATTGAGATAGAGATGCAAACTCTCGTCGATGACCCTAGTCCTTGTTTGAGTCCCTTGTAAGGATGCCCTCGCAAGGGCCAAACTCCTTATTAGGTAAGTCCATGGATAGCCCTTAGGCCTTTCCCACGGGCAAGTGAGTCTTCGAGATGGTGTCTCCTGGACCATTCCCCGTTGTTTCCGCTATCGAGCTTCCAGCCAAATCGTCATGGGCCTTGTTCCCTCCAGTTTACCAGTGACGGCCACACCACAAATGCAGTTGGTGTGGTCTCGCAAGCTTATAAACCCCTCGAAGTACAACAATGGTGTGCGCAACCACTGAGTGGTAAGAGGTATGCAAACCTCGCTAAACACAAGGTTTAAACCTAGAGTAAGTGCATAAGCGGTGGTCTAACTAGCCTAAGCACCTCACAAAGCTCTACACTGATCACCTAATTTTTCCTTAAGCACCTGGTGACTAGAGCACTTGGAATGGTGTCTCAACACCCCTCTGTCATCAGCACAATCTAACACACTCAAATGCGCCGGCCAAGAGGGTATATATAGCCCCCACGAAGCAACTAGCCAAGAGGGGTTGGGGGTCAATTGGGCTAATCTAAAATTCTCACAAAATTAAAACCTATCACTTAGCGCATTTCACCCCCTGTGTCTAGATTGTGTTTCTAGCCTACGCACAAAGTTTTGCACCCTAGTTCCAAACCTATACTAGCAAGGCAATACTAAGAATGTAAAGACAAGAAAGTAATTGCAGAAATATAAATGCTCAAAGTAAAGAAAGAGTTAGGGACATGGCGATATTTCCCCAAGGTATCGGAGAATCAGCACTCCCCACTAGTCCTCATTGGAGCACCCGCTCAAGGATATAGCTCCCCCTTGATCCGCTAAAGGATCAAGTGCTCTCTACGGATTGATTCTTCGCTACTCTGGCATGGTGAATCACCCACAACTGTTTACACCATGAGTTAGGTATTTCACAAGCTCCATCGAGAGATCACCAAGCTCCCAATCACCACCAAGCCATCTAGGTGATGCCGATCACCAACAATAACAAGCACAAACTCTCATGTGAGCTAACCAAGTCAAATGAGACTAGTGGATGCACACTTGCTACTCCCCAAGTACTAATAGAGTCCTTATTCTTGTAATTAGCAATTCCCAATCACTCCACTAAGCTTGAACTCCCCTTGCTCACCAAGGAGTGTAACTAGATGTCCAAAATTGCAAGAGAGCGCTTCTATGGTCGAGATGGAGAGGTATAAATACCCCTAACACCCAGAGCCAGCCGTTGGAACCCCACTACATAGAAATCAGGGTCACCGATCGGATGACCTAACGCGTGTTTGAACCAAGCACCGGATCAATCCAGTACCTGTCCAACGACTACTTTCGAAACTAGGCGTTGTTACTTCAGTGCAAGCAGTGCAGAAATGCAGTGTCTAGTGCCCACTACCAAATTAATCCAGTGACCAAAATACCTCTCTAGTCGCTTACTGGACACCACCGTGACTACTCATCCTCTCTACACAGCAAACCCTAGCTAGGGTACTATAGCGCATAGTCCGATGACGCCTGCAGCACATAGTCCGGTGCCTCCCTGGTCATAGCACCGAACTAATCTAGTGGTACAGAAAAGTGCCCATTCACTTCCGATTCCACCATCTATGTGAATGGAAACACTACCACTTGATTCTTGGGCTTCCATAGAGCTATCTAGTGCTAAGTTTCACAAGTATGCATCAGACTAACTCATTAGAATCACCTAGGTCAAGCTACTAGTTTGTACCCTTCTTTATATTATGGTCAAAGGAAAAACAAAGTTCTAAAACTACTGTAAGTATCTCCCAACTCCAATTGACACTTAGAACTATTTCGTCCTTAACCTTGTCGTCCATCCTTTGAAAACTGAAACGAAATTCATGCATGAAATCCATTGATTGCCCAATCATGAATCATTATTGTGACCTAACTTATAATGTCCCTGCAAAACATACGCTAGTCAAATAATTATGTCGTCATAGTTGATGGTACTATGCTTCTTCTGGTACGAAGAACAGGGCATGTTATGCAACAACTCTCCGTGGAGTAGGAGAATAGGACGGGCCTTAAAAGCAACGCTGGCAGTGTTGTCGGAGAAACCACGATGTGGGTGCGTATTGGCGCAATAGATCCCCATGCCCTCCACCATGGCCTTGGATGGGAAGGAGAACAGAAGGACATGACCTCAGCACTAGGCCACCACCAAGATCAACCCACATTTGGGACCCACTACTTTTTTTTAACCCTACCTCTTGAATATATACCTTTCTTTCTTCTTGGCACCTATGTATTTTTGAACCCTTTCGACTCATTAGCACTCTTAGCTCTGATCCACATCTGTTTGTAACCCCTAGTCTAAATTTTGAGGACAGCACTTGGTGGTGCTCAGAAACACGAGACATAGGACACGATTAACTGAACTAGTATAGATGTTGAGTCTTCGAGTGCTAAGCCATCCGAGCAAATGCATGACTATAAATTTACAAATTAACAGTAGGAAACATTAACAGTATCTGATTTTAATGATCCACAATTGGCATCAATAATATCCAATATTGGTATCTGAATCCATATCTGGCCGGTATTGACAAAAAAAACCTGGATATCTGAAATTTCCTATCCGACTAGTATCCATTCCAAACCAGCTTTCGGACAAACAGATGGTCTGAAAATATTGATCCTGTTATCGCCCGTACCAATTCTTATACACCCCTTAACTACAAAGTTAGTCATTCCGTTGCAATGCATATATAGGCAGCAAATTAGTTAAAAAATACCTAGGGCACATTGGAGAAAGAAACTAACGAAAACAAAAAAGAAAGCCAAGCCTGATTAAAAAAAACAACGCATCAAACATCAATGATATACAACGTAAACATGGAAGCTGATCAATAGGACACAAATTACACAGTTTTTATAAAATAAAAACCCCTGAACCGACAGCTACTTACCAAATTGCAGAGTAGTATCTTTATTGGCAGTGTTTTGGCCGGCTTGTGCACACTCAGAGCAGCGTATAGGATTTTGTATATACGTACGTTTATTTACGACTAATTTGCAATGCAATAATATACGTACTACTGCAACACTGCTAAACATACGAGCTGAGCGGCATCAGTTTCTCAGATCCTGCTGAATAGATTAGCCATGGAGATGAGCGCGTTGGCGGACAGCGCAAGGAACCCAAGGAACGAAAACCACACGGCGATGTTGATCTTGCTGCTGAATTGGTCCGTGCCGAACCTCGACACCCACTGATGGTTGCGAGACGCAGCTGCCGACGAAGCCGATACCAGCAGATACGCCAATACCTGCCAGCGAAAGTATTTCCTTCAGCCACGGTATGTATGTACTAGATCGGTTACTTACACCAGCAAGTGAGTCTCGCTGGAAGCTAGATTTGCGTTGTGTCTGCCTGGTCGAAGAAGAGGCTGCAGTAGCTGAAGTATGTTGAGGCGCTCCGCGACATAGAACTCGGCCAGATTAGAGGCCGGATCACGGCAAATGCCTGCACGATCGAGTAGAAGCAGACCACCACATTCACTCCGACGGCGTACCTGCCATGCCACATGCATCATTTCAGGATCTGAGAAGCGAAATTAATTAGGTTTTACAAACTACTAGAGATATTTGTCGGATATATGAATTTTTTTTTATCGGACAATATCTGATATCATCCTTGAGATACAGCTTGAGCACAGTATCCCAAAGAAAGAAAACCGTGAAATAGACTTAGGGCCTGTTTGGATCCACTCTAAACTTTAGAGCTTAATTCTGCAAAGTCCAAAGTTCGCTCTAAATTTTTTGCCCACCTCACATTAGAGCTATAGACATCAAAACTGAGCTAAAGTGCTCTAAACTAATTAGAGCTCTAAATTTTTAGAGGAGGGGATCCAAACAGGCACTTATTGTCATGGATAGAACAAATGCAATAGTTATTTGTTTAGAGGCTTCATTTTGGCTTCTTGGGCCTGAGTCAGTTCTTTCTTTTGAACATATAAATCCAATTACCATGTATATGAAATATATATTTGTTATATGGAAATCTATTAATTCGATGATGAGATGCTGGTCTTTCGGGCTTCTATCTTTCAAATGTATATATAAATATATTAATTAGAGCAACTCCAAGAGCCCCTTTATATTCTTTTTAATTGAATACCAATAGAGATTTTGTTGAAAAAAATATCCTCCAATAACACTTTTTTTATTAGATCTCCAATATAATAACCTTTTTGATACAGCTTGAGTATTTATAGTATCCAACAATAGAAAACCGTGTACAATTGACTTATTATCATGGATAGAACATATGCAATGATTATTTGTTTAGAGGCTTCATTTTGGCTTCATGGGCCTCATTCACTTCTTGCTTTTGAACATATAATAAATCTATTTTGCACGTATGTGAAATATATATTCCTTGTATGGAAATATATTAATTCCATGATGAAATGCTAGTCTTTTAGGCTTCTATCTTTTGAATGTATAAATATATTAATTAGAGCAACTCCAAGAGCCTTTTTGCATCCTTCGTAGTTGATAAAAATACCCTCCAATGACCTTTTTTACTAATTCACAAAAAACAACTTTTTTATTTAAATCTCTTGTATTATTGCAATCGCCGCTGAAAAAGAAGTTTTGAAGAGCATTTGCGCTAGGGCAATAGTATCTAGAAACATGTTGTTAGGGCCGGTTGTCATAGAGTAACCGTCCTTGAAAAAATATTTTCAGGAGTAGTTGTGTTAAATCGATCGTCTCTTAAAATCTATTTTCAGGAGCAATTTTAAATCGACCGTCTCGGATTGGATAGATGGAAAACTTGCTAGATGGGCCTCAATTCCTTAGGTCTTAATTCTCTAAGTAGTATATACATATTAGACTACGTATTTTGGAAACGAGTCCCCACAGCAAATAAGGATAGGAAATTTTGTGTGTGTGTGTGTTTTTGTTACGGGCATGAGAATTGCAAAGTCCTTCCATTGCAACGAATTGAAAAACTACCCTCCTCTCCCTCCCTTGTTCTACTAATTTGACCTCTCGTCAATTTCGTTCGGTGCTCACTGCTAAATACCCACCAGTGGTTCCGTAAAAAACTTGTAAAAAGTACGAAGTCCTCTTAAATATACGAGTAAAAACTGACAAAAACAGAAAAAGGAAAAGGAAAAGGAAAAGGAAATGGCAGCGTGCAGGCAAAGCGGTGACCAACCTGTACGGCTCGTAGCGGCCGGAGCTCCACGCGGACGTCCTTGTGCTGGCCACGATCGAGAAGGCCAGCAGGCTGAGCACCATCGTGACCAGTCGAAGCGCCACCGCCAGCGTCCTCTTCCCGGCCATTGGCGCAGCTGGCATGTCCTGCGCTTGCGGCACCTCCGGCGGCTCTTCCTGGACATCGTCGTCGGCGGATGGAATCGGTTTATCATCGGGCTGCTTGGCCTGGCCGAGGTAGGTGTCCATGCGTCGCGTGGCGAAGATCCGGATGTCCTCGGCGTCGCCCCTGGCCGTGAACCGCTGGCGGTCGTGGGAGGCGACCGAGGACATGGCAGAGGGGCGGCCCTGCCTCTCGTAGGCATCCGGCGTCTTGAAGAGCTCCAGAAGCTTCAGCAGCTCCTTCCGGAGCATGTCCACCATGGGGTCAGCGATGCGCTCCAGCGCTTTCAGCGCCTCTGCCAGTATGCTCCGCGCGTCCTCCAAATTGTCGCCGTCCGCCTTCTCCATGGCCGCCTTGATAGAGTCAGCGTGCTGCCGCCGGGCCACCTCAGCCTGCACTTGCCGCGGTGGCGCGACGGCTGCTCTTCTGCTGCGGCGTATGGTAATCCGCTCGGGGTTTGAGGTGACCTGCTGGCCCGCGAAGCTGAACCTGTACCGTACGTCGGCGACGTTGGCGTTGTACGGGCGGAACGCGGTGTGGTCCTTGAGCGCGAGCTCGACGATGACCTTCCGCGCCTCCGTGCAGTACAGGGTGCCAAACCTGACGGTGACGGAGTTGGAGGAGGAGCCGCCTGTGCCTGTGGCGGTGCCCATGTCCACAGGGTAGGAACCGGCGTCCACCTTGCTAATGGTGGCCTCGTCCAGGAACGACGTGACGGTGAGCTCCAGGTCCTGGGCGATGATGGTGACAAGGCCGGCCAGGACCTGGGAGAAGGTCTCGGAGAGGTTGGTGGGTCTGTCGCTCTCGTCGTCCACGAAGTTGTACACCCCGCCGAGGCTCTTCTTCGCGATCGCGTCCATCAGCGTGGTGTCGTGGCCGGAGCTGAAGCCGAAGGTGTGGACGGGCACGTCGCCGGGCTCGACCTTCCTGGCGTCGCCCTCGTTCTGCCCGCCGTCGGACATGAGCATGATGTTGGCGGCGCGGCCGGTGGAGAACCTGCGCTCCCTGAGGACGTCGAGGCCGGTCTCGAGGCCCGCCTGGATGTTGGTGGCGCCGCGGGGCTCGAGGCTGCCAACGAGGGCGTCGAGCTCAGCATGGGCGGCCTCGGTGGCGCAGCGCAGAGGGCACACGCGGGCGGCCTCGTGGTCGAATCGGACGATGCTGAGGCGGTCATGGTTGGTGAGCTTCCGGGTCATGAAGCGGAGTGCTTTCTTCGCATTCTCGAGCTTGCCTCCACGCTCCATGCTTCCACTGACGTCAATGACGGCGACGAGGTCCAGCGGTGCTCTAGAGGCGGCGGAGGAGACGCCCTTGAGTTCGAGCACCACCTTCTGGTCGTTGGGGGCGAGTGGCGCCTTTGGGTTGTGATACTTGGTGAGCTGCACTTGTTGCTGCATCGGCCTCGCCGGCCCAGGCTTCGCCGGAGGAGGCTCTTCATCATCATTGAACGCCATTTTTGCAGGGTTCTAACTTCTATAACCAGGGCCAGACAAACACGATTTGTCTAGCTAGTCTAGAGGTGAACACGGTATATATATGTACAATGACAATCTATCGCACGCACAGACTGAGCACGGGCTGTTTGCACTCTTTTTTATAGGCTGTTTGCACGATGGAACCATCACCCCATCTTGGCCTAATGGACTTAGCTGCCTGTAGCCTCAGTCCAATCCAAATTATAGTTCACTTTAGATCTATTTTAAATCAAACTTCTCTAAATTTTATCAAGTTTATAAAAAAAATACTCCAATGTCTACAACATCAAATTAGTTTTGTTAAATTTCCTATCACTACTACATAAGCAAATTTCAAAGGCATCATGATTTTTCTTCATAAAGGTTCTTATTTTTATCCATCGGTTCCCAGATCAGGAGCTGTCTCTAGAAATATATTTCTAGAGATAGCTAGTGCTATAGACTGCCTCTATAATTAGCTTCATTATTGAAGGCTGACATTAGCACCATCCGCCTCTAGAAATGCCCATTTCTAAAGACAATTTTGCAGTCAACCCATGGCATGGGCATTACTTCAAAATTGAGGCGATGCATGCGCTTGTATGTGTAGACCCACCTTATTCTTTCTTTATCTCTTCAATTCTCTCTTTTATCTCTTTCCTTCCGCCTTATCTCTTCACGTCCTTCTCTCTGGCTTGAGCGAGATTTCAAAAGGCAACGCGAAGGGCACAACCACTGATAATGGTGTGGGCACAGGATCGAAGGCACGGGCTCAACTCTGGCACTGTGACCTCAGATGCATGGTACCGGGGCCCTGGCTTAGAGACCTCATCGTCCCGAAGATAGCCCTAGCTCAGGAGTGGCGGCACAGGCCCAACAATGGTAGGCTTAGCGCACGTGTGCGTACAATGGTGTTGGCACACCCACATGTACTGTCGTGATCGCCACATTGCACGTGGTGGTGCTTCGACGCGTTGTTGTGGCGGCACAACAATGGTCACGATGGATGGGCACAGACCACGATGTCAATTTTTTTGGGGGTTTTCTAATCCATTTATAGAGGAGGTGCATGTTTTAAGCCGCCTTTAAGAATTGAGTTCTACTCCGTAGGAGCGAGTGTTGTTTCTAGTCACTCTTAGAAATAAATTTATAGGTTTGGTTTTTTGACTACCTCAACAAACCATCTATTTTCAGATACCTATAATGCATCCAGTAGTATAGAAATGGTTTCGAATAGTGGCACATTTTGGATCTTTATATATAGATGATTCATGTAATACAACCACCTCTGTTAGTTAATTTCAGACGTGGCCAAGTAAAATAAATCACATATAAAAATATTTAAAAAATTCAAATGTTTCCCATCATATTAGTGTTAGTATTTCTTAACGCAAACAAAAATGATCCGCAAGCGCACGGAATTACCGTTGTAGCACTTCACCCGGAAGTATTCAGTGTATCGTATTTTCCACAGGAACGGAGGTACTCTTCTAGCTAGTTCATCCAAGGACAACAAAAGGGTAGATTTGGTAGAGGTTGAGATGGATTCCTATGACTTAAAGGTCTATGGAGAGATAAACTTCACTTCTACTCGCTTACTTCGGGCATCTGAGAACACCTGGTCTGCCAAGCGTTGCCGGCCTATAGCTCTACGCCGAACCCGAACGTGGGGGATTACAAGGGACGGACAGTACTATCACCACCTGCCGCCTACCCCTCAACCATGGGGTAC